AACATATAATTAAATTGTGCTTACTACTGTCTAGGACATTAGACAGAAAACAACGGGGGTAGGGACCAGGGAATCCATTCAGGCAGGGAAGTCAGCAAAGACCTCCACAAGGAAGTGACATTTACAGTCAGCTTTGAAGTGTGAGTAGGAGTTAGTGAGACCGTACGTGGAGGGAAAAGCACTCTGAAGAGGGACAAGCACATATAAAGGTTTTCAGGCAAAACATTGCTTTGTGAGTTAAAGTAAAACTGGGCAAGAGCTGGCATGGCTGGCTCTTACGGTATGACGTTAGGTTGGAAGACAGAGGAGGACCTTGAATCCGACATAAAGGATTTGGGATTTTATTCCTTGGGCAATGAGCATCACTGAAGGATTGTAAGCAGGGGGTTACATGAAGCAGTTTATAATTTAAAAAGATCTTTTTGGCTGCTCTGAGGAGAAAGAACTGGAGAGAGGCAAGAGAGAATCTGGAAGCTGAGTTAAGAGAATCAATCAGGAGACGGCGATGCTGAGTAATGGCAGTGACGATAAAGAACAGGGGACAGTTTGGAGATGGGTTTTGGTGGCAGCATTGGTGGGACTCAGGCATGGGACTTAGTGATGGCTTAGATTAGGGGAGTGAGGAAGAGGAAATGGGGACTGTCAAGGATGATTTCCAGAACACTGTGCCTGAGTGACTTGGTGGAGTAGGTTTCTTTTAGACAAGAGTTCACTGTTAGACATGTTTACTTTGAGATTATAAGATTCCTAAGTGGAGCAATTGAATAGAGGAGGTCTGTTATTCACAAGAGATACACATCTGGGATGGAGATATATGTTTAGGAGTAGATGGCCCATAGATTGTGCCGACAGCCCTATGGATGGATGGGATTGGTTTGGAAAGAAAATTAAGAGAAAGGAACAGAGAGCCGAGGGCCGAGCCCTGACAAATTCCTACATTTAAACCTCGAGGAATAGGGGGGAGGTGGCAAAGCACTTTGGGAAGGATTCATTCCAGAGGAGGAAGACCAGGGTGATGTGGTGTCAGAGAAGTCAAGGGGAGAATGTTTCAAGAAGTAGGGAGGGATCGATTGTACAGAGTTCCTGAAAGGTCTAGTAAAGTGATTAGCAGAAAGTGCCCACTGGCCCTGGCAACCTGGTGGCTCTGGGTGATGATGGATAAAGCAGACTCAGTGCAGTGGTGGAGGTGGGAGCCAGACTGGAGTGAGTGGAAGGAAGAATAGGAAGTGATGGGTGATGAGAATGTGTGTGCAGTCTTAGTAATCATGGCTCTGAAGGCAGAGGCCAGTGGCTAGAGGGGAATGGAAAGTTAAGGGAAAGGTTTTTGTTTTCCTTTGACAAGGGAGATTCTAGAGTTTGTTTGAATGCTGGTGGGAATGATTTAATAAAGAGGGAGAGATTAGTTATGTAGGAGAGATAAATGATGGAGGGAGGGCCCATGTGGTAGAATTGGTGTTTGAAAGGAAAAGGAAAGGAGATGCAAGTAGATGTTTGATATCTACTATGTGTTGAGTATGTGCTAGGCATTGTGCTAAGTGATTTGCACAGTAGCTGATTTATTATTCATAGTAGCTCTATGGTATTGATATAATTACCCCCATTTTACTGATGAGGAAACTGGGTTTAAGCAGAGATAGAGCTGTTAGAATAGGAGACCAGGAGATAGGGCTGAAGCTGCATGTAGGGGCTTGAAGATTGGTTGCAGGTGTTAAAGTAAACAACCCTCAGGCAGAAGCTAACTGGGGGGTCCACAGGCAAGAACCAGCTTTGACCAGCTTGTCAGCTGTCTCTCCACCCCACCTGAACTTTGGCTAGTTATACTTTCATTTACATTGTGATTTTAAAATTTCTCTGCCCTTGAAATCTCCATGACAGTTCCAAGACAAAAATATTAAGTATGAAAAAGGGAGGGAACCCAATTCTGGGAATTACTATCCAAATTCTTAGTAAAAGCCAACCCTTTGACCTTGAATATTCTTCCCCTCAATTAGTAAAATTACAAAAGATCTAAAACCACTTTCTCCCAGTGTAGCTGCTCTCTTTTGGCTCTCTTTCCTGAGAGTGTACTTTCGCTTTCAATGAAAAGCTGTTGCTTGTTTGGCTTACATGGTATGTCCTGAAATTTTTTTCCTGAGAATTTCCTGACTACGATCACCAAGAACTTGGAAAAACCTCCCCATGGAGGCTGGTAACAGGGCCAAGGTTTCCATTGAGAACTGCTTGATTGCAGAGCTCACACTTTTTTTTTGATACAGAGTCTCACTCTGTTGCCTGGGCTAGAGTGCCATGGCATCAGCCTAGCTCACAGCAACCTCAAACTCCTGGGCTCAAGCAATCCTCCTGCCTCAGACTCCCAAGTAGCTGGGACTACAGGCATGCGTCACCATGCCTGGCTAATTTTTTCTATGTATTTTTAGTTGTCCAGCTAATTTCTTTCTATTTTAGTAGAGATGGAGTCTCACTCCTCAGTCTGGTCTCGAACTCCTGACCTCCAGCGATCCTCCTGCCTCGGCCTCCCAGAGTGCTAGGATTACAGGCGTGAGCCACCATGCCTGGCCTCACACTCTTAACTCTTACAGGATTTCTTCTATGATGGTGTATTATTAGTTTGCTCGGGCTGCCATAAAAGTACTGCAGACTGGGTGGCTTAAACAACAGAAATTTATTGTCTCACAGTTCTGGAGGCTTGAAGTCCAAGATCAAAGTGTTGGCAGGTTTGGCTTCTCCTGAGGCGTCTGTTGTCTTACAGATGGCTGCCTTCTCTGTGTGTCCTCACATGGCCTCTTCTCTGTGTCCCCACATTGCTGGTGTCTCTTATGTGTCCTAATCTCTTCTTAAAAGGACACAAGTCAGATTGGATTAGGGCACACCACCGAAATGGCCTCATTTTAACTTAATCACCCTTTAAAAGGCCTTATCTCCAGGGACAGTTGCATTTTGAGGTTAAGTTTTCAACATATGAATTTTGAGGGAGATATAATTCAGTCCATAACAGATGGCTTTTTAAGGTATCAGGAAGGGGTGAGTGTGTGGGGCATTTCGAAGAGCATGTAACTGTAATTGAAGAGAGTAGAAGAAGGAGCTTACTAGAGAAATGTAGCCTTAGGGTCAGTTGAGGTCGGAGATCATTCATTTATATCCATCCTGCCCAATTATCTGAGTCGCTGCAGCAACAGTCAGGTATATGTGTGAAATAAAGAATGAGACCTCTGTGCTTTGATGAGGCTGCTGGGGGTTCACGTGGGCTTATTAACCAGCCAAATGACCATCTCTCCTGTACAAGGTTGAAATGTAAATGGGTTTTATTCACATCCTTGGCATAATTACAGATTACTATTTGTAAGGTACCTTTCTGGCTGTTCTCAAATAGTTGAAACCATGAAAGTTAAATCTATGACTGCTAAGATTTTGTTGCATTCAGCAATGCAGAAATTGGCTCAAACATTTTTTCCAATCTGTTCTATACATTATCTTTCATGATTACTTACCACTTTCTTCTTCTTTCTCTCCCTCCCTTTTCTTCCTTTTATCCATTTTTGCTCATTAATAATTTATTGAGTCCCTACTAGGTGTCTGGCACTAGAGATAAGGAGTCCACAATTTATTGTACATATATATACAGATGTATTTGTGAATAGTGTAGGTATGGACAGATATGTATACTGTATATACATATATGCAAGAAACCCAAATGATAAGTGGTAGTAGTGAAGTTTTAATTCATTTGTTCATTTAATCCTACAAATATATCAAGTCCCTGCTAAGTGCCAGGCAGTGTGTTAGGCTTGGGATAGAGACATGAGTTAAGATATAGTTTCTGCCTTCAAGAAATTTACAACCTGGTATAAAAAAAAACAGTTAAGGAAATAAAGACAATACAGTGTGACTTAAGTAAAATATTAAAAGATTTCAAAGAAGGAAGTGATTTTGGTCTCTGCTTTCCCATGCATGTTTGGATATCCATTGAAAGGAGCCATTGCTACATTTTAATGGAAGGAACTATAAAAAGAACATCCATTCATTTCACAGACATTTTTGAATGCTTGCAATTATTGTGTAGTGACAATATTTTATAGCTCTTGAATTATGAGCAAGCCATTGAGTTGGGGGAATCTGTGACTTATGTTTCCTCATTTGAACTTATTGTCCATACCCTGTAGTATCATGAACTCCCTTTTTAGGTGGTGGAGTGATTATTCCTGAAACACTCTACAGCAGCAGTCCCCAACCTTTTTGGCACCAGGGACTGGTTTCATGGAAGACAATGGAAAAATTGTCTTCCATGGGGGAGGGGGAAGGGGTTTTAGATTCTCATAAGGGGTGCTCAATGCAGATCCTTCACATGTGCGGTCTGCAGTAGGGTTCGGGCTCCTATGAGAATCTAGTGCCACCACTGATCTGACAGAGATCAGTGGTGAGGCGAGGCGAGCGAGGCGGAGATCAGGCGGTGATGCGAGCGATGGGGAGTGGCTGTAAATACAGGTGAAGCTTCCCTTGCTGGCCTCCTGCTGCAGCTCTACAGAAACCTGCTGGATTTTAAAACTTGAAAAAAATCACAGTAACAAAGCATTACTCTGATGGTGGGTGAGCAGAAACTACATGCTGGCCTAGCATATAGTTCAGATATTTGGAACTTGGACTTATGTGTTAATGCAAGGGTTCCTTGTAAAGTGATTTAGAAAACATGAACAGCAGATCAAAAACACTGAGAATGGCCGGGCGCGGTGGCTCACGCCTGTAATCCTAGCACTCTGGGAGGCCGAGGCGGGCGGATTGCTCGAGGTCAGGAGTTTGAAACCAGCCTGAGCAAGAGCGAGACCCCGTCTCTACTATAAATAGAAAGAAATTAATTGGCCAACTAACATATATGTAGAAAAAATCAGCCGGGCATGGTGGCGCATGCCTGTAGTCCCAGCTACTCTGGAGGGTGAGGCAGGAGGATTGCTTGAGCCCAGGAGTTTGAGGTTGGTGTGAGCTAGGCTGATGTCTTGGCACTCACTCTAGCCTGGGCAACAAAGCGAGACTCTGTCTCAAAAAAAATAAAAACACCGAGAAGGAAATGGATTTTTGTAGATTATGTAGTTGAAACATTTTCAGTATCATCTATTTATACCTTATCTGAGGAAAATAGTTATTTATAACTGAACACTTATGGAGTTAATGGAGATAATGGATAATGGTTATAAACCTGCCAATTTCTTGGGAGCTGACATGCTATACGAACTCAAGGAGGTATTATCTGCAATCTAGACTTATTTCTTTGGGAAAATGCTAACTTATTATGGAAATAGTTCAGATGGTAGAAGGGAGAAAAGGCAAATCAGATAAATGGAATATGTAGGATTTGGAATCAATAATTAACCTAATAACTGCTGAACATTGCTTTGATGCCGTGCAATGAACATTCACTATCTGCATGTTGGCTTCATGTCAGAACTGTATTCTAGAGTATGTCATAGGTGGAAAGAGCACTGGATTGGGAGTCAGGAAATCTAAATGCTAGTCTAGCTCTGCCATTGACCGCCTGTGTGCCTCATTTTCCCCATCTTTAAAATGAAGTGGTTATGGGAAAAGGTCTCCAAGGCCCTTCCAGTTCTGATATTTTATTGTTCTGTGATTCTATATCCCACACCCATCGAGAGCATTTTGATTTTCTTTAAGTTGCTCGCACCGGCCTTTCAGTTAGGATGCGTCCAGGAGCTTATGTCCTTGGGCTACTGGGAACAGTAAGGCCTTGCTTCTCCAGGACTTGATATGTCTTCTGTTAACTGCTGACAGTGAGCCATACCACCTAAAAGGCTCCCTTGGGAGCCTTAAAGATTGAAAGGACAAATGGACAGTATTGAGAACTCTGTGGAAGAGGAGACCAGAGAGACGTTGATCATCATGGCTCCTTGGGATTTGCAAAGAGGAATGACTAGAACGGGGCCCTTCACTACAGCCAGGTCAAAGGTCAGGTCAGGAATGTGGACAATGCTGGTGACTCCAGGTAGGTCTAGGAGGGTAAATAAACCTTTTTAGTCCCTCCTGAGTCTTGACAAGATCTGGGCAGCCATGCTCAGAAAGCTATTAGAAGTCTCCTAATTTATGAAATTTTTTGGAAGAAAATGTAACATTAAAAAAATGTTTTATTACCGCACAATCACTGTATTCTTAATGCTCACCATGTCAATCTACTCTTAATATGTTCTCACAGTTCAAGCATTAATTAAACGTGCTTTTGTGATCACGTGTTGAGTTAAATATCTGGTTTCAGTTGATGCCATTGTGCAATGGACTCCCTATATTTTAGGGGTTTTAGAGTGGTGTTGGAAGATCTTTAAGTTTAATTTTAGTTAAGTAATATTAAATATAATTCTCTGGCAGCAGAGATTTATATTATTATTTTGCTAATAATAAGCTAATTTGGGGTGATTAGAAAACGATTCAGAATACTGCTTTTCTTAGTGATTAAAAAAAGCAATGGATAATTTGTGAATAGGCTATTAAGCCAGATAACTAATAATAATTCTGTGTGCTGAATACAATTAGGAATTAAAAGGCTTTTTGTAATTGTTTTTATCATGGAATTCCATTAAAAATTTACATATGTTCCTTAAAATACTGATTAAGTTTCTGTACATAATCATTTTTAAAAATAACTGTATGCCTAATACATATTACAAGATGATTCTTCCTCTTTTTTTTTTTTTTTTTTTTGCTTTTATCTAGTTGCTTCCAAGATCCGGTACTTGCAGGAATATCATAACCGGGTTCTTCACAACATTTATCCTGTACCATCAGGAACAGATATTGCAAACACCTTGAAATACTTTTCTCAGACCTTGTTAAGGTAAGCTTTAAAATATCCTCTACTTCTGTGAGAATTATTAGGTAGTACTGCTGAATTTTTTGGGATTTTTTTCCTTGAATTGAGAGTTTTAAAGGGCCTTATGTTTTCTAGTGCTCTGCCAGAAGAGTCTGGACTCAAGTTCTCTGGGTGTATATAGCAGATCAGATCCCAGCCCTAACTGAAAAAATGAGTCACATGGCTTCTGCCTGCTTTTCTCAGTCAAATGCCTTTTCAAGAGATCTATAAAATGATAAAAGTTCTGTTTGGCACTAATCTAGAGTGAGATTAAAAGGAGAGCCTACATTGCTTAAAATTAAGAATAGGAAACATTTTTCATTTAAAAGAAAACCAGAATTATGTGGCATTTTAGATTCATCATTAGTATTTCCTATATCCCTAAGTGTAATACATAGTAATAACAGTTATTTTTAAACTGTGTAACACTTCAAGTGTTCAACATGCTTTGCAATTGGTAATGAAATTCTATGGAGGACAAGGAAATAAAAGACTGGAATTCTTTTTCTATTGTCTAGTTTGACCGTAAGGTAGAGACAGGAGATCTACTTCACACATCTCATTTGGGAAACTGAGCAAACAAAGATGATCCTTTCAAGGAAGGGCTCAATTGTTTGGAGAAATAACATTGAAGAAGTTAGAAGAACATTTTGCTTTCCATGAAATTCTAAGGCTAAGTCTCTCGAATTACCATGATCTTCTCACTTCAAATACGATTTTGGATACCCATAAATTGCCTTGCTACTGTTTCTGTTAGCTATATAGCAGCACAAGTTTTGTAAGATAGTTTTAGGAGAAGAATACAAATTTGGAATGACTAGTGGCATTTGAGTTTCCAGCTGTCTAAGGCTTTGTGATGGCCAGACTGAATGCTTTGTGGAAAGAAGCTTTATGTGATCAAGTCAGCTACTAATCTTTTGCAGTTCTCCTATATCTTTGTCTTCCTTATTTTTTTGAAAAATCTTTTCTCTTTTAGAATCCTTAGTGTCCCGTTCTATATTGAAGGAATTCTGCTCAGCAGATTCATAGATGTCATAGTTGCATCATAAGGTCATAACCCTGATATATAGGACATTTCCCTTCTTTTCAAATTGCAATAGGCTAGTCCAATTTTCAAAATAATAATCAGATAAATTTATGAGCCAAGGCATCTGATTCTATTCTCTTCAATTCTCCCTTTGTCATTGAGGTTGGGGTTCTCAGTGGGGAATACTTTCCTTTATCACAAATTCTAAAAGTTCTCAAAGTGAGAGTCACTTTGCAGTAGGAAGTTCTGAATTCTGTTTGCAAAGAAACTGTCACATCCTAGTTCACACTTCAGAGCTTGATGCTTAGATCTTAGTAATCATGCCAAAAGTTAAGAAATTTAGGATATTGAAGTCATGTTTGCAAGACATGAAGATTCTATTTTCTTGAGCAGTCTATCATTAAAATGTTATCACCCATGATCATACCCTAACGATACATTGCTCAAGAAAATAGAATCTTTACGTCTTGCAAACATAGCTCATAATTAGACTCTCATTAGAGTTCACAGAGGTTCTTTAAACTCTCATAGTGTAAGGTGAGTTGTGGGTGTCATTCAGCTTGCTAGTCCTTGTGCCTAGAGTAGTGTTAGGCCCACAGAGGGATCAATAAATATTCGTTGAACTGAATTGACTTTAGTCCCAATTTTATCCAATGTAGGAACCCTTCCAGAACATTAACTTAATCTCATAGTGATCTGGGGTCTTGGGTAAAATTACATCTGATTGCTGAGTTGTACTCCTTTTAATGTAGCAGGTACCCAAGTTTGGCAATGAACACATGGTTTACACACAACTTCAGAGTTTAGCTTTTTGTTTGCTTTTAGCATTAGAAGCACCTACTAAGATTATCTAGTTTAATCCCCTCTTCACTGCTATGGGGAGTCTGTTCATTTTATATTGGAAGCCTTCTTTGGCTACATTTTAAACATCTGAGGTCTTTAAGGATCTTGCCTTTAACTTTGCAGAACATTTGAGGGTTCAGTCTTCTTCCTAGGTCCAACATTCTTTTGGAATTCCTTCCCCCAGATCTCTCTTCTGGTGGCGTTCAGGCTGCTAGCATGCAAAATTAAAACATACAAACAAACAAAACATTACATTTGGGGAAAGCTGCTTACTGATACCTCTTTAGAAAATGTTTAATATGCTTTTAAAAGGGATGCTAGTCTCGGCCCGATAATCTTAATTGAATTTCAATTTCTCATAGCTTAGGAAGAAATATATGTATCTCCAAATTATTAATTTGAAGTCCATGGAGTAACTTTAGAGCATAGCATAATCGAGTACTTTTTGTTCAATGCATAGAGTCCATTCAAATGTCAAAATTCCTGGTTTTATAGAAAGTTTATTTGACATTAATTTTTTGTGCTATAAATACCTCAGGGCAACTTCTCATTTTTCCCACTCCCTCAGAGGTCTTCCTCCCTTGCCTCATCTTGACGATGGAAGTCAATGCTTCATAAAGATGATCTCAGAAGGGTAAAAGGAAAGGTGAAAAGTTGGCTGCTGGGTCAAACTCTTCTGAGCAGGGCATTCTTAATATTCTTTTTTGTTGGGTTTCCAGACCTTTGGGAAAGAATTTCAGATGGGGAAATGGTTTTATCATTCCCAAGTTAGACAGTTTGGTTGGGGAAATAAGTTGTTTTTTTTTCTGAACAAACTTCACAAAACATCATAAAATCACAATGCATTGTACATTTATTCATGAGCCCTTCTTAAGTTTTTCCACAAATGAAAACATTTCCTCACATTGAGACATGAATGGTAATTTAAAACTGGTTTCATGGATAACTCATTTTCAGCCATTTTCCCCCTCAACCTCACCTAATTATTAAATGTAAAGGCAGTGAGAGAGAAGTTTTACTGTTTTGATGCTGACATTCTTCCCTTTCTGCATGTATGAAGCTGTTGTTGCTATCATTTGGGAAGCCCATGTATACAGGAAGGGAAAAATATCAAATGTAGAGTCTCCAAAGTTGATTTGACCAGTGTTTATTAAATTATATCAAACTAATGTATATTTGAAAAGATAATGTGCTATATTTCCCCCACCAAGAAGTTTGATGAGAATATTGCACTTAAAGGATAGCATTAATTTGTGATATTCAGATATTTTTATTCTCTAAGGCAAAATGTTGCTCTTCTTATATCACTTCTATAAGATCCACATCTTGTAATTTTGAAACAATGCTGGTAGTAGGCTAATTCAGGGCTGAAGTTTGGGAAATAATATATCAGACTTATATCCATTGTGATTCTAAGGGAATTTTCAGTGGGATTAGAATACTAAAGGATTAAAGTAGATTTTTTTGTGACTGGGTTTATCAAGGATATAACATTTAAAGGTGGTACTCTAAGGAGTAATTGAGTTATATGAGAAAAATATAACATCTGATGGTAAATCTGATGACATTTATAATAGATGTAGACAGGCAGGGGTAACTGGAATGTTGATATTATCCCATTGTAAAGTGTAAGCTTACAAAGTCAAATACATCACACACAAAAAAGGTAAATTAAATCCCTTTAAAGTAAAAAAATACACTAAATATTAAGTTATCTATTGCTAAGAAGTATTACATAACTATTCTGAAATTATTTTTATTATCGATTGTTTTTCCCTGGACATTGGGTAACAGAAGACAGAGGAAATCGAGGTAAATTAGGCACATGGAAAATAAAAAGCATGTAGTCATTTTTCTTACATTGTAACATATTTTGCACTAAGAGTAAATAAAAATAAATGTAAACCTGACATAGCAAGCATGCTTGACACTAACAAATTCTTCACTTCACTGTAAAATTGTAAATGTAATATCATTAACTAAGAGCTTAGTAATGTTTGATGCACATAGAATAAGTGTAAAACAAGGTTATTTTATGTAATGAAACATTTATAAACTGTTATCTATTTGGACTAACCTATAAGTGTACTATATAAAAGCATTTTGTAAGTGCAGCAAATATTATCACTATAATGTATAGTTATTGTATTTAATGATAAATAGTATAACCTAATTTTAAAAAACCTAAACATTTGGCTAAGCAGTAGTTTATTCTATTTTTAAATTAACAACTTTTCTGCTTTATTGCTTTTACTAAAAGGTTTTTATTTTTAAATTAAGGCTAAAAGAAAACCAATTTATTTTTAGAATTTATTTTTATTCCCATTAAACTTTTTTAACTTTCTAAATTATCTTTCCTTTAGTTTTTAGTGAGTTTTGTTGAATAATAACGTAAGTAGCAGCAGTAATATATGAGATCTTACTGTTATGATGTGTAGCTATATGATAGATACTGCTTGCTTAGTCTTTAGAATTTTGAAGGTCACTATTTAATAAACCACTGTTTGTATTCATAAAATAAAATATTTCCTCCCCAACATGCAAAATTAAAAAAACACACATAAATAACCATTATCATTAGTTCACAAACATATGCTATGGACCATCTACTATATATTATTTTATAGCTTTTCCAATGTAGTTTAGCTAACATTTTAGAAATATGTATTATTTCTAAATTCATATGCCTGTTTAAACTTCATTATCTCAAATGATACTGACAGAATGTCATGAAACAGTATCATAATATACATATAGACATTATTTTGATGCAATAAACATGTGATTTTTAAGACTTTCTTAATAAACACACATGTTTATTCTTTGCTGAAACATGTTTCTGCAAGTGCCATACCTATATTTTGCAAGTTTCTATTTACCCGATGAAGCCAGTCTCGCCGAAAACGTCTTTTCCTTTGAAAGCTCCTTGTAATTAGGAACAAGGGCCCTTACTCATTAGATAAAGCCATTGTTTTTCCTTCCAGGAAACCTCTCCTTCACCAAATTGCTAAACTGTAAAACATGGGTTTGGCACTGAAACATGCATTTTTATATTTTTGCTCCTTACTAACCAGATAACACATGAGATGCAATGAAACTCCCACAAAGTAAACCTTGTGCTATTGGTATCTCTGAGCACGAAGCTATGTGACCAGTACTAGATTCGTAGATCCTGCTGGCGTAGCAATTGCATCTTATGTGGAATGTATCTGGTGTTTTATTATTTGTTTTAGAGTGTCATTTCAATGTAATGTGCTGTTCTTTGTGTCTTTGTTGTCTCTTTTTTTTCTTTGTCCCCCCAACAGCATTTTGTCCCGCACAGGGAAGAAGGAAAACCAAGATGCCTCCAATTTGACAGTGCCCATGACCATGTGTCTTTTTCCTGTGCCATTCCCACTCACCCCATCTCTAAGACCGCAGGTCAGTTCCATCAACCCTACTGTTACTCGCTCCCTCCTTTACAGCGTCCTGCGAGATGCTCCCTCAGAACGCGGCCCGCAAAGTCGTGATGCTCAGTTGTCAGACTACCCTTCTTTGGACTACCAAGGCCTCTACGTGACTTTGGTGACTCTCCTGGATCTAGTTCCTTTACTACAGCACGGCCAACACGGTGAGCGCTTCTTTGAAACCTTTGGGAATACATATGTATATTTATGAATATGTATGATGCTGAGCAAGGGGCTTGGGGACTGTTATTATAATAAATTGCTTGAAAGGAGCTCTGTGTGGTTAAAGCCTTTCTTACACTGAAACTTGATTATGGTGTTTCCGGTACTATCATGTTCCACTGTTGTATTGCCAGAGGGATGCTAGCCAAGTGGGTCAGTACTGGGGAGAATGGGCTGGAGAAAGGAGGAAGGATATAACATGAAATTCTCTCTTCTCTCCTGATTGGCTTATCATGGGGACTCTTGTTGAAATTATGTTTGGGGAGCTAAGATTTAAAAGTTTGCACCCAGAAAATGTAAGAAGTGGAGATTGAAAAGCAAGCTCTAATCCACTGACTGATTCTGTGATTATGGGGGACAAATCACAGAAACGCTCTGGAACTAATTTTTCCTGACTTTAAAGTCAGAAGGTTACATGAGAAGTAATCTCTAAGAGCTCTTCCCAATGTAACTAACCATCAATAGTTGTAAAATAAATGTTGTACAGAGTGTTGGTACAGTATATGGTGGAGCTATATGCTGTGTACAGTCTGTAGTATCAGTGGTGCTACATGTGTATGCCTTATGTATACAAGATACAATATTAGTGCTGCTACATGTATATGCCTTATGTATACAGGATACAGTATTAGTGGTGCTTAGAATAAAAGTCTCAGAGCATGCTTTTCTCAACTCTTCCCTCTTTCTACTGTGTGTTCTAAGGTATTTCATTATCTTGCTTCCTTACCATATTCTTTCAATCCGTAAAAAGGATTACAATAATACCTGCTGCTTAAATCCAATATATATTTTGGAGAATCAAATGGAAAACCATGCAATAAGAAAAGGGATTTTTGCAGAAAATGAACATTAGTTATCTTAACTTTAAAGCACTGATAATTTGTTCCCTGGAAGTATGATAACCAAAGTTTCACTGTACAGAAAAATTGGAATTTTGGAAAATGGGTGGGTGGTGGGAGTTATTTTGCCTTTTAGTTATGTTTAACTCTCCTAAGAGAATGCTTAATGGTTTATTTAGTATGATGTGTTCCTAACTTTAAATTTTTTTAGAAAATCTACTTAAATAAAATTGATGAAATAATGAGATTGAATTTGTTTTTTAATATATTTATAATTCTGTATTATAGTGAATATAAAAAGTGTAGAAATTTGTAAAGTTGCTTGTTGTATGATTCTGTAGCGATCTTAGCTATTTTTACTGTGACCCTATGCCACCTTAGAACTTGAATGAGAGCATTCTGAACATAAGACTGCAGAGCTTACTTTGGCAGTGAACTTGTCAGTGCCTTTCCTTTGTGACTGACTAACAGTTCTGAGCTCCCTGGGGACCTGCCTGGTCCTCTGTGTTAGGGCCGCTGCCCTTTATCTTCAAAGTCTGTTAATTAAGATAAAGACATTTGATTTGGTAAATTGCAACCTATATAATTGCAATTAATGTGTAAATTGTGACAATTTCAGGGAAGAAGATTTATATTTTTGCTGTTATACCTACAGCTGTTTTGTGACTTTATTCTTCATTGTTATTGTATTTAGCTATTGTGTTCTTGTTTTGCATAATAGAGCTTAGAAGATAAGGAAAAAGTGACTAGACCATTCTGGTGAATGGTTTAGAGAAACATGCAGTATTGTTTCTCTGAAAGTGGTCTGAAGAACCTCAGATTCACTTATGGAGTTTGGAAGATGGAATTCTGGGTCCCATCCTGGGATCTGAATAAGAATCACTGAAGGGGGTGGGGTGGATCTTGAGGATCTGGAATTTTAGCAAGCTCCCTGTGGACACACTGAATTTGAGAACCACTGCACTATGGCTAGAGGCTGTGTCCTCCCACTGGGCTGGGTGTTGCACAGGGAGAGCCTTTAGGCAGCATTTTTGTCTTAGCTCAGCCACTAACTCTCAGGTGATCTTGGGCAATCACAATTCATCACTGGACCTCAGTTTCCTTTTTGAAAAATACTCCAGGTGGGCTCTTAGGCCCCTTTCAGTGCTAATGTTTTGTAATTACGCTAAAAACCTCAGTGAAAACAGCCTCACTTAATTCTTAGTAAAACACCTGTGGATTTTCCATTTCATCTATTTGAGCCCAAGGTTGACTGACACTGGTTCCACAGTATGTGATGTGGCCAGACCTCTGTTGTCAGTTGATGTGCCTGTTGAGATGGCATGTTAATTCTAATGATAATCAGAAATAGCATTAAGAATCAAAATAATGATAAGAAGGTAACTCTGCTGCACGGCAAACAAGAGTCTAATCCTTTTGTATAACAATGGATATGAAGATGGTCGAAGTCAGCACTGTTGAGTCTTAGCCAATATTTTGGGAGGTCCATGAAAATCACGATGTACGTTCAATGTAATGAGCTTTGATCTACCAATATACGAAACCTTAACATTTGTACCCCCATAATATGCCGAAATAAAAAAAAATAAAAATTAATAAATAAAGCTAAAGAGTTATGGTTTTTTGAATGTCCTCTATTTTTGCTCCTTGTGCAGGTAATAATAGTAAGTATTAATATTACTAATAGTGGCTAATATTTGTGGAACACACATTATGTGCTATGCTAAGCACTTTACATTTATCTCATTTAAGTCTCCTAACAATCCTCCTAATGAAATGAGGTAGGTATTATTATTATCCCCATTTAAATATGTTGATAGAAAGATTATTATTAGGTAGCACTTCCATGACAATTAATGAAGAAACGCCTGGGTCGAGGAATACCAGCTTAGGTTTCCTTTCTTATGCACTTGCTCAATTGCTGCATTGCTAGAGGTTGCAAATGACCTCATTGCCCAGGACTCAGGTGTAGGACCATTGCAATTTGGTTCATAGAGCAGAAATAGCCTATTTTATTTCTAGTCCTGCCCTTGACTTTTCTAAAACTTCCATTGGGTCTGTGGCTATACCACCCTGAATGCGCCCTATCTCATCTAAAACTTCCATTGGGCAAATAATCTAACTTCTTTGTGCCTCCGTTATCTTTTGTAAAATGTAATGCAGGTAAAAATGCTGGAGAGATTTCAGAATTCATTTTCTCATGGGAGGTGCTTTAAATTTATGAGATAAAGGAGTCATATGAATACCAAGTATTATTGAAAATTGATAAGGCATGGATGAAAAGCTCATGTAATAGATATTTATATTTCTTAATATAAATATTTATTGACCAACTACTGTATACTCAGCACATTATTCTAAGCAGTATGTTTCAGAACACTTAATAGGAAGGAAGCAATAGTTGCTTATAATTTAAACCAGTCCATTAAAACTTAAAATATAAAATTAGCATATTTTGTTGATTACAAAATATTCAGTGACTGATTACTCAATTTTGTTTTGTAGATCTTGGACAGTCAATATTTTATACAACTACATGTTTGCTACCCTTTCTCAATGATGATATTCTGAGTACTTTGCCCTACACGATGATATCAACGTTAGCTACCTTTCCTCCATTTCTGCACAAGGATATTATTGAATATCTTAGCACATCTTTTCTACCAATGGCTATATGTAAGTTCATTCTCATCTAATATTAGATTATTTTTGTGTATTATATGAATGGAAATTGCTTTTGCTCTTGAGTTTCGAGATTATTTGAATTCATTTGTTGTATATGTGTGCTACGATTTAAATTTGTCTTTTCAGCATGAATATTACAGTGAAAATCAAAGAAATGAAAGACCACTATACCTTAGAATTGTTTTGTTCACATAGTTTGATCTTATGAAATAGGAAGAAAGGACATATCAAGGTGGTCTATATTTCCTATGTATAAATTACAATATCTTTTGCCACTTTAGAAAAAAGTCGGAGGTAGTACTGTCTCAGATGTAGAAATTCTTATCTTTCACATCTGCAGGCAGTCAGGTGTGACAGAAAGAGCAAGATACAGTCACAGTGTGTAGAGTCTTGTCCCAGCTCTGTCCCTAATTTGCTGTGAGATGCTGGGCAACTCACGTAGTTGAACCTGTATCTGCAGAATGGCAGTCTCATCAGCATTCCCTTACAGGGCTGCTGTGATGACAAAATGAGTCAAAATTTATGAAAACACTTTGAAAAAAACCTAACGCCTGAAACTCATGTCAAGGTAGAGTTATAAACATCGAACTGATTTGAATTCTATTTCACTTTTATAGACTTAATTCTGTAGGCTTTCCAGACAGGAGAGCAAAGAGAAAAAGAAAAGTTAAGTAGTGGTTTTATGACCAAAATCCTTTTAAAGTATTTTTTAAAGAAACGGATTGTGGATCAATCTGTGTTCCAGTGGATAATCTGAAAAGATTGTGGGTTTAGGAGTCAAACAGATCTAGATTCATATCACAGCTCAGCCACCAGCTAGCTTTGTGATCTTACGCAAGTTATTTAACTTTCTGTTTCTTACCTGTTCAATGAAAATGATGAGTAATAATAGCTACTTCACAGGGTTGTTGTGATAATTAAGATGATTAACCTGGAACACTGGTAAAATGCTAGCGCATTGCCTAGTATGTGATGTGTTAGTTTCTTTCTCTCTTTCTCTCAACTGTTATTCTAGAAAAATACCCTTATTGGTTGCATTCAACTCCTAGAGATCATTGTTCACGATTTTAATTTTATGTACTTATTAAAGTTGTTGCTCTGGACTACATTTGCTTATTTTATACTAAAGTTTAATTTTAGCTATGGAATTATAATTTTTTAAAAAAAATTTTCTTGTTTTTCCAGCAGAGAGTCTGACTTCTGCCTAAATTATATAGCAATTTGAAAAAATTACCAGGCTGATCATACCATTCAAGTTATAGAATATTTGATCATTCTCTTTTTATTGTTCTGTGTAACCTTACTGACAAGTACTTATTTGTGGATGTAGTCTTAGAATTGCATAGTAATATTTTTAAGAGTAATGTTAACTATGAAACTTAGGCATAAGAATTTTTGTTTTTTGAAGAATGGCAGGTGAGGCTGTATCTGTCTAATAATCTAATTCACTGAATTCTTACTTCTTAGGAATAAGTTAATAGTTTTGGGAGAGGCATTGAAATATCAGGCCTCTGAAGTTATATTTAAGATTGATCAAGTATGGTGACATCTGGCAATTTGTTTCTTTACACTTGATTATTAATTTCTACTTAATTAGAAACACAGACCCCCAAAATACAACTGGTAGTCATGTTAGAATCCTTACTTACGTAAAAGTACAAACTTTGGCAACTGAGGAGAATAGTGAAGTAACCTGATGTTGATGTAAAGGTATCAACAAGTCACTTCATGTCCCTGAGACACCATTTTTTCAACCATAAGGGAGGAGTTTGAAAAAAATATTCACTCTCCAAGATTATTTCTGGCATAGTGACTCTAGTTTAAATAACATCAGTCTTATTTTATGTAAGAGGCACATTATCTTCCCCTAATCCAATGATTGCTCTGGTTCATGTGTTTATTTTGTTGCCCTAGTTTTAGCCTCTTAGTTTTGACTTTCTTTTCTTATCACCATTCCCGTGGTTCAATAGTAGCCAATCTTTGTCATCTTCAAATCTTTGAAAATAAATTGTAGTGCCAACGTTTACAGCAAATTCTATTGCTATTCAGGCGTTCCCTTTGCAGTCGTTATTGCACAAGGTAGATACAAAGACAGATTCACAGATAGAAGGGATCTGGTTCCAGAGAAATACGATTAAAATGGATCGATGTGACAATGTGTGTCTGTTTATTTTATCCACGTTGTTTCTTTTTTTGGTAATTGTTTCAGTGTCTAGAAATTCTAACCAAAACAAGACAGGGGCATTTAACTTCTCCCAGAATATTTTTATTTCAGGACTGAATTGTTAGGATGAAGGATAGTGCATTTTCTGAGTGCCTGATAAAGTCTTTAAGACAAAAAGGCTTTTATCTCTTTGGTATGGTATTCATGAGGTCAAATGTAAAACATGGATGGTTTTTCTGGTGTTAAATGATTTGATCGTTTAGGACCCAGAAGATGAAGTTCTGGGCCTAATGAGGCGTTGCGGTTCCTGCAGAGTAAGAGGCCCGAGTGTGCATCAGATACGTCCTCTTTGCCGTCTTTGTCAGTAAACCAAGTGCTGGGTTTTTACTTTTAAATAATTCCTCTGAGGTTCTGCAGAGCAAACTTTAATTTATTTATTATAAAATTTTCCTTTGACACAGCTTTTCTTTTTAACTCCTTCCATAAATAAAATATATTTCTCTTTATTCCAAATGTATGCAATATGCTTTATGCTTGTTTATAAAAAATATATTAAAGGAGTTACTAAGAATTGAAAAAGTCATTTGCATGTCACCATAGAAACCCCTCTTTTTCCAATAGAGAATCTGTGATTTATGGACCGAATTGAAAGTGGATGTTTAGCAGATGATGCTTTGGCAGAGAAGAGAAAAAGCTGATTCTAAATGGACGTTAATTGGTGTATTATTTAAAGATAATAACAAAGCTGAACAATTATATCAGTTCAAGATGTTTCTAGTATATCCGCGTATCCTGGACTGCACAGTCTCATTTACTTTCTTTTTCAGTTTAAATTTTCTCAAAAAGTCACTTCTCAGGAAAAATAAAGATTCGCTCAAATCTTTGCATTAACTTAAAAGCAATTGTATGACTTCATTGAATATCTGGTTCCAAATCATTGGCCCTGGATCATTTTTTTGTTCTGTTGCTACTAGTATAGAGTATGTGTATTATGTTTCTATAATCTTCCAGAGACTAAGTAATACATAGAAAAAAAGACAGTAAAAAAATGAAAAATATTAATTACACTTAAATAATCTTTAACATATGAAATCTATTTATTAGGAACTAGGCCACACATCACCACCTGAACTCTACCCTGTGCCCCCATGCCATGGAAAAATTGTCTTCCATGAAACCAGTTCTTGGTGCCAAAAAGGTTGGGGACCACTGATCTAGACCAATCCAGTAATTTCTGCACTGGTGTCCCTGTTTCCCCTCTTAGCCTTCCTGGTCTGCACCAAAAAGACAGAGCTGGCTGGGTGCAGTGGTGCATGTCTGTGGTCCTAGCTACTTGGGAAGCTGAGGCAGGAGGATCTTGTGAGGCAGGAGGATCTTGTGAGGCCAGGAGTTCAAGATCAGCCTGGTCAACATAGAGAGAGCCCCATTTCTACAAAAAAATAAAAAAATTAGCCAGATGTGGTGGCACACACCTGTAGTCCCAGTTACTTGGGAGGCGGAAGTGGGAGGATTGCTTGAGCCCATGAGTTCAAGGTTGTGGTGGGCTATGATCATAACACTGCACTCCAGCCTGGGTGACAGAATGAGACCTTGTTTCTGAAAATAAATAAATAAATAAAGAGACAAAAAAAAAAAAGAAAATAAAGAAAACCACAGCTATCCTTTGAACATGGTAATCAGACCATGCCACTGTCTTCAGCAAATCCACCTAGATTCCCACCACTCTTACAAATCAAATTGAGCATCCTTAGTTGATTGGCCCACAGGGTCCTCTGTGATCTGGCCCCTGCCTACCTTCCTGCTTTCATCACCATCTCCTTGTGTTCAATCTGCTCTAGGAGCCTCAGCCTTTGCAGTGTCATAAAGGTACTAAGATTTTGCCCTCACTCTATGCTTTATCCTCTCTCTCAGATGTCCTTCTCCTCAGCGAGCCCATGATTTGCTTCCTTGCTTTCTTTAGGTCTCAGCTCAAGCACCAGCCCCATCTTTTGAGATGCCCTTCTTTACTGTAGGGCTAAAACAGAACCTTCCATCACTTTCTATCTGTTCCCTCGCTCTGCTTTCTGTTTCCCCACAGGTATCTGTTTGCCCTTTCCTGTAGAACAGCACTGTCCACAGAACTCCCTCCGAGGATGGAAATGTTCTCTAAAAACATTTAAGAAGCCACTAGCCCCATGTGGCTCCTGAGCACCTGAAATGCATCCAGTGAGACTGATGGACTAAATTTTTAACTTTATCTGATTTTAATGAATTTAAATTGAAATAGCCACTTGTGACTATGGCCACATACTGGATAACACAGTTCTAGCATCTAAAGTCCATAAGGACAGAGATTCATCTGTCTTTACCACTGTAGCCCCAGAGCCTGGTAGATAGGAGGTAATGAAAAACAAATACTTTGGATGAGTGACCAGAGCATTCGTTACTGATGAGGTCAAGTGACTTGGACAGTAGTCCTCATAATCAGATTGGTGCTTTTGTGCAAATGATCTCTCTTTTATAAAATAGCTTTTCCCATATTACTTACTTTTTTAGGGGGATAAGAACTGTATATATATATATATTATATATTATATATATATATGAACTGTACATGATAATATGTTAGGAACTATAAAATGCAAGAACATATTAAAGTATTGTTATTATTCATGGAGGGACATGATTCATGGTAATGATTGTTCTGGTGGTGCTGGGAGAATAGGGAATAGGACTGAAGACTTTTAATTGTATTTCCTGAGCACAATATTAAATGTAAAATTTTCTTATTTTGATTAATTATCTTCTCCCTTCTAGTGTATGTAGTTTCGGCTTTTTACACCCTCATGGGAACAAGCTATACATCTGTTGACATCATGCCTTTTTAACAAGATTCAATAAATGATGTGTGCCTGTGCATATTTATTAAATGAGAATTGTGGTGATTTTATCCAGTCTGTTAAAAGGCTAGGAAATTGCAAAGCACCGTCTGTTTATATAAGTATTGGAGCCAATTTCCTAGGGCTTGAGCTAGGGGGATGCTTTTGGCTTTATGGCTGATCATATTTGAAGGAGAGCATGGATTTGTAGGGGTCACAAGGACAGCCAAAGGTGGCTGAGCCATTTGGGCCATTCTCCAAATAGACTTCACCTAAATCATCTGAGACATTTGGGCATCTCTCCCATTTTTAAAGGCCTCCAGGTACAGTGGCTCTCAGCCTCCCTTAATAGTTTTCATTGTTGAGAAATGCTTATTATTAAAAATGTTGATTCCCTAGGAAGAAAGAAAAAAATTTTGAGATGAATTTAAACAAAGATGAAAGGATTTGTCCCAAAAGGAATATATATATATATAATTTTCTTTTCTTGACTATATCTGAGACAAGACTTTCTTTTTTCTTGTCTAATCAAAAGGCATAGGAGACATGCAATTATTCCTCCCACCCCTGGACACCTTACTGGGCATTTCCTTTCTTACCTCTCATCCCTCTAATAGTACTTTCAAAAGGAGATCCAAGACCAGCTTCCATCAGAATCATGTGGTGTGTTTATTAATTAAACACATAGTTTCCTGCTTCCAAAACTGACCGAAATAGCATCTCCAGGCATGGGCCCTCCAGAAGCTGACTTTGGACAAGCTCCCTGGCTGAAGTGTGAGAGCAACTGCATCTTATTCTCTAGCATTTGGCACAAAGTTCCTTTTCCTTGAGTAATCATATTTGATGAATCAACTTAACCATCTAAGAGGAGAGAACCAATCTCCACATCTTTGTCTAATTCCTAATACTTATTTATATTGCATAGCCAAACTAATCTATCCACCTGAATGTCACCTGCTTGGTGGGGCAGCAGCAGCCCAGCTGCAAGTGATTAATACAAGCCAAGTTGGGTAAATAGAGCTCAATTATAGATGCATTTTGTTTGTTTGTTTCTGTAAAGTTGTTGTAAAGGCCACTGTCCTCCACGTTGATCAAAGTCCTTTATGGTAAAAAAAAAAAAATCATATTAAATTTTCTTTGTCTTCTCTATTATATGACAAACCTTTTGATAGCTCTATTATACATGTGTTTTATTTTAAGTTGTCTTATCCCTTTTGGATGTAGGTGAGATATTGTACTTAAATATAAAACAAAATAAAGCAGATTTTGAGGTTATCTGCTTTTTTTTGTTGTTGCGCATGTCAGAGGTCCTCTCCATTACGGCAGGAGTTGAGAGTTGACTTTTGGAGGGTGTTATACTGTCTGCACATTCTTCTATTCGTGCTTGACAGTGTGCCACACAAACTCAAGTACAAGAGTACTTCTGCAATTGTCACTGAGAAAAGAAGAATTTACTTTATATTTCAGTGAGTCTTAGTAAAGTTTCTCTTATTGTGGATCCTCTCTCAGTTATTGCCTTTGAAATAAGAAAGTCCTCTTGGGAGATGACATATTACCCCAAATTACTTCCATCAGCGCTAGTTTTGAATACTTAAAGGAGTTACCTGATACGCTCTATTTAAAAAAAAAGAGACAAATTTAATATAGTGTTTGTTGTCATCATACACAAGCCACTTAAAGATGTCTTAAACACAGTTTATAAGTGCAGACCATGATTATACAGCTGTAAGATGGATTTTGAAGAAACTGCTTGCTTTGTGCTTGAATACTTGTTGGCATAGAGTAAAATGTTCAGTGACAGCGTTATTCACAAATTCAAAAAGTGCTTTTGTTCAAACAACTCAGATGGATATGAAAATGGTAAGCTCTCGAAAACTAAAATAGTGGTTCTCATGGTAATGAAGACACTGGTGATGAAGTTAAATGTGAAGGTTTGCATAAAACTGTTTAATGATATGTGAGAGTGGAAATAACTTTTAAATTAATATATTTTAATGATATATGTTAATTTAAAATTTGTATTATTACTAAACTAATAAGATATACATTATAAGTAAACTATTATTTCATCTGCATCTCTAAAAGTTAACATATTCAAGTTGGATTTAAAAGTCTTCTATTTTTACTTTGTTCTTGGAATAACCTTCAGCATGTCTTTGTATCTGGGCACATAGAGGATTCTGTATTTTCTTTCTTCTCTGTCTAGATATAAACACCTTAGGAGTAGAAATCACATTTAAGTATAACTCTGAGAAAGCCGTGACTTCACATTCTGGCATTGTTCCTTCTTCTTATAGATTCTCACCAAATTTTACTGTGGATAATGACAACAATACCAATTGTATGCTAGGACAAATTTTGTGGTTTTATTTGTACAAAAGTTCCATTGACTTGCTTGGAACTTTCCTTCTTAACATTCATGCTCTATGCAAAGTATCAAGTATTTATAAAGATGAAATTGTGTCTAATCAAAAATCTTTTGGTTTCAGTGGGTTCCTCAAGGAGAGAAGTTGTACCTGCCCATGTTAATCTCTCTGCATCATCCATGCTAATGATTGCAATGCAGTACACATCCAATCCAGGTAAGTGGAAACTTGACTGGCTTCACTAATTCTAAAACCAATAATTAAACAAGACATCAAACAAGCAAGCTAGATGTTTTAATATGAGAACTTTTCTTAGTGGAATAGACAATTGGAGATGTGTTAGAAAACAGGCTTTTGAGTTGAAATAAATTTCCCTTGCTTATAGCTATTAGCAGTGATCTTGCTGGTTAGTGATATTTTTAGAATATCTGAGGACACAATTTGAGAACACTGACTTGAAATTGGTTGAATATAAGTACACAGAAATAGTTAAATTGGAAATATAAAAATCACCTGCAATTCTAAGAATTAAAGATAACCATTACTAATATTTTGGTAAATTTGCTACTCTGTGGCTACACAAATATCCTTAAGCATAAACCTTTCACTAATTCTGATTTCCTTGGAATAAATTAATTAAAGAGGGATTGATGAGTTAAAGGGCTTGAAAAATTTTCAATATTTCCCCTCGTGTATGAAAGTACTTATCTTATTGTGACCTGCCATTGAGTAATATCATAAAATGTGTACAGAGTTGGACAGATGAAAATTAATATTTTATAGTTTTGACTTGTAGTTCTTTGATTACTTGTGTTGTTGGACAGGTTTTCATGTGATTCACTGTTTGATTCCCATTCATCAGGAAAATTGCAGATGAACTTTGGGAAACTGACCTAAAAGGGTTGACTGTTAGTCATGTGTTAAGATGCGAACTCAGTTTTTATTTTCATGTTCAAATTTGGAAAGTGAACAAATTTGGTAGCACTGTTTTTAATCTTCTACCTAATTGCATAGTAAATAATAATTGAACTTTTGACACAGAATGAGCAAATTTTTTTTTTTTTTTCAAAATCCTAATGCTTCCGAGTCTGGAGCGTCATCTTTTGTCTTGGTCTGTTTGGGATGCCTTAACAAAAATACCATAGACTGGGTGGCTTATAAACAGCAAACATTTATTCCTCACAGTTTTGGGGGCCAGGAAGTCCAAGATTAAGGTGCCAGCAGATCTGGTGTCTGGTGACGGCCTCCTTCCTATGCATAGATGGCCATCTTTGTGCTGTGCCCTTCTGTAGTGGGAGGGCAAGGAAGTTCTTTGGGGCCTCTTTTATAAAGTCACCGATTCCATTCATAAGGGCTGTGCCTTCATGATCTGATTACTTCCTAGAGGTGTCACCTCCAAATACCATCATATTGGGGATTAGGATTGAACATATGAATTTTGAAGAGACACACACGTTCAGTCTATAACATTCCACTACTGGCGCTCTGGAAATTCATGTCCTTCTCACATGCAAAATACATCCATCCCATCCCATAGCCCCAAAAGTCTTGCCTCATTCCAGCATCAACTGAAAAGTTCAAAGTCCAATGGTTCATGTAAATATCATCTAAATCAGATACAGTTGAGGCTCAAGGTCTGATTTATACTAAGGCAAGTTCCTATGAACCTCTGGAATCAAGTTGTATACTTTCAAAATACAGCAGTGGTGGGACAGGTGTAGCATAGACATCCCATCCAAAAGGGAGAAATGGGAAAGAAAAAAGGGGTAACAGGTCCCAAGTAAGTTCCAAACCCAACAACATTAAACCTTAAGGCTTGAGAATAATCTTCCTTGACTTGATACTCTGCCTTCCAAACACACTGGGGCAGAGGCCCTGTCTTTTGGACTCACTGGGGCGGTGGTCCTGCCCCCATAGCTTTGCTGGGTAGGGGTTGGGCCCCCAAGGCCATGTCCTATGGCTTTGGGTGGCCCGTCTATGTGACCTCACTGGGCATTGCCCTGGTGGGGGCTGTCTCTGGTGAACCAGCCCCTGTGGTGGTTCTCTATCTGAGTCCCACCACAGCAGACTGGAGTCCTGTGCCCATGACTCTGCCAGGGTGAGGTACTGGCTTTCCCAGGTATCCGTTGAAATCCAGGTGGTGGCAACTGCACCTCCATAGCTTTGTTGGGTGCACTGGGCCAGAGGGCTTGAGCCCAGGGCAGCTGAGGAGTGAGGCAGTGGAGTGCAGAAACTGGGGCTCTCAATGTGAAGGGGTGCTGGGTGGCATGCCCTGAGGTCCCCAAAGTGCCAGTGGCCTCTCCTTTGATACTGTTTTGCCCCCAGGGCCCTTCCAATTGGGCCCATGATGGGTAGGGCAGCACTGATGATGTCTGAATTGCCGTGAGGGTTAGACAATAGCTCCTGGTTTTTGTTGAGTTGGGGACTAATCTGTCCTTATAAAACGGTCACTTCGCTATTAGAATAAATATCCTGCTGTTCTCTCTCTAACAGGCTTTTTCATCCTTTCTATACAGATAGGCTTAGAATTTTCCAAATCTTTAAGTTCTACTTCCTCTTTTTTTTTTTTATTTCAGCATATTATGGGGGTACAAATTTTAAGGTTACGTATAATGCCATTGCCCCCCTTCCCCCTCAAGTCAGAGCTTCAAGTGTGACCATCCCCCAGATGGTGCACATCTCACTCATTGTGTTTGTATATATCCATCCCCTCGGCCCCCCTCCCACCTGCCCAATACCCGATAAATGTAATTCCTATGTGTCCACTTAGGTGCTAATCAGTTAATACCAATTTGCTGGTGAGTATATGTGGTGCTTGTTTTTCCATTCTTGGGATACTTAACTTAGTAGTATGGGTTCCAGCTCTATCCAGGAAAATACAAGATGTGCTATATCGGAGAGAGACTTCTCAGGGGCCTTTTGATAAGGGCACTAATCCCATTCAATGAGGACTTCTGCCCTCCAATCACCTCCCAACAGGCCCTATCTCCTGAATACCATCACACTAGGGGCTTGATTTAACATGCATTTTAAGGTGGCATAAAAAGTCTACGGCATTGTTTAAGTATGAAACTCTTATGATATTATATATAAATGTATATTTTGGGGAAGTTATATCTCATTTATATGGCTTAAGGACATCAAATATCATTATATTTATTATATATTATTTTGGATAAAATCCTTTATTTGGAAATCAATTATTAAAGTCTCATCATGAGGCTTTGGTCCTTGCTTTTTTTTTTTGCTTTTTTTTTGTTGAGACAGAGTCTCACTTTGTTGTCCAGGCTAGAGTGTGTGCCTGACATCAGCCTAGCTCCACAGCAACCCCAAACTCCTGGGCCCAGGTGACCCTCCTGCCTCAGCCTCTGGAGTAGCTGGGATATAGGTGCAACACCACACGCCCAGCTAATTTTTTGTTTCTATTTTTAGTTGACTGACTACTTTTTTCTATTTTTTAGTAGAGATGGGGTCTTGCTCTTGCTCAGGGTGGTCTCGAAACTCCTGAGCCTCCCGCCTTAGCCTCCAGAGTGCTAGGATTACAGGTGAGAGCCACCG